GGTTTGAGCCCAGACTGGGCAACTTAGTGAGATCTTGTCTCAAAAAAATTAAAAAGAAGTAGAATTGTAGCTGAGAAATCTCTGGATTCAAACCCCAGTACTGCAAAACAAACAAATAAAATGTAAAACAAAATGTCATCCACATTTACTACCAGTTACAAGATAACCTCAGTCTGACAATTCAGGTCCTCTTGAAGTCTCAATGGCCTCTTTGAGTGCTTCTAGAAAACAGGTGAGAGTGGTATTCCAGAGAAGGGCTTAAAAACAGTTTAAAGAGCTTGCCCTGTCATTGTCCTAGGGTAAGCGTAGCAAACAGTATTAGGGTTTCCCAATTCATTCCCACATCATCTGTGATAATGATGGTACAAGTGTGCCTACCCTCACTCAGCAAATAGAAACTTGGATCTGGAGAGAGTAAAATGATACAGCAACATCATAGTGTATTATGGCAAGGGAGATGAAGTTTCTTTCTCCTCCTGGCTACTCTGCTGCCTCACCCTATTTTGTTCCATGACACTAACTAGTACCCACTTGCTTCACTATGCAAGACGGAGACATAAAAAACAAAAATAAGAAGTAAAGAGCTCAGTGTTGGTGTGCACCTGTAATCCCAGCACTCAGGAGGCTGAGGCAGAAGAATAGTTGCAAATTTGAGGCCAGACTGGGCTACATAGTGAGTTCAAGGCCAGTCTGAACTACACAGTGAGACCCTGGAGGGATAGGGGAAAGGAAAGAAGGGAACAGAATTAATATGAGAAAATGAAAAAAAGGAAACAAAGTTGAAGGGAGGGCAGGGGAAGGGGGAAAAAATAAGAACCAAGAGAGTATGTAAAGGTGCAAATTTCCAATGATGAATGCCATTATACTGTATACCTAAAATGTACCAATAAAAGGATATAAAAAGTCAGGAAAAAAAAGATGGAGATGTACATCAATAATGGGCCAGGAAAAGGGCAAACATGTAGGTTGAGAATGTCTTCTGTTCTGTCCTGTTATCCACCCTAGTTTTCCTACTTCTCCTTTGCCTGCATCCCCACACCGATCTCAGCTCTTCTTTTCACTATCTTCAGTCAGTCTTGGTTTCTGAGAACTTTAAATGAATGCACAGTGCAATGCAGTGTGTGTGTGTGTGTGTCTCTCTCTCCCCCTCCCTCCCCCCCCCAACACCACAGGAAGATACTGCCTGAATCTCAGAGCTCTAAGAGATCTTACATGGTGCAGAATCACTGGTACCAAAACCTTGCCAAGTTCACCCATCCCAAGCTGGGCATAGTGCCTGTAATCCCAGCACTCTGGGAGGCTGAGGCAGGAGGATCATCTCAAGTTCGAGACGAGCCTGGGCTACACAGTGAGTTCAAGGACAGCCTGAACTACATAGAGAGACCCTGTCTCAAAAAACCAAACAAGCAGAAAAAAAAAAAGAGTTCAGCAGGGAGTCAACTTCATAGATGTCTATCCACACAATAGAGAAATATCCCTAGGTAGCAAAAGAAACACATCTGATTAGAAGAAGACCCATTTCATCCAGATAGGCCCTATGGCTTGATGAGGTATTTAGCCTAAGATGCTGACCAAAGGAATTAATAATGTCAAAGCCATGGGCTCAATCCTTTGTGGGTCAGGTTTCTTTTATTTGTTATCAGGAAATGCACCACAACTTATGGAAAAATCTATAAACTATGCCTTAGCACTTAGGAGTTTTAACATTTCCTTTTTCTTTACCACTTGATTTTCAGGAGTCTACATAAGTCTCTATAAATCAGGCATCCAAATTCCCCACATGTAGGTAAATCACAGGAGCTAGTAGCAATCAATGATTTTCCCAACTGATTATTTCTTGGTGCAAAGGTTCTCCTATGACAAATATGAGCTAGACTTTTACCCTCTGTGCCTTCTTCTACCAGCCACTTTTACTCAAAATCTCCCATTCCTCCAATGTCTCTACCTTTTTCCACAAGGTACCTCCAAGCAGGTATGGCACACTATCCCTAGACCCATATAACTTTTGTTTTATTCCCAGACATCAAAGTAGATTGACTGCCATTCTCCGCCATGGATCTTGCATTTTCTGTCTCTGTTTGATCCAAGTGACTGGGAGTCATCAAAAGAGTTCTGTTTTTCTCCCTGAGCCAAGACTGCACTAGAGCATACTTACAACTCTGACTTTACCTGTTATGGACCACAGGGTGCCGTAGAAAATATCCTTGGGGTGGGAGGTAGGTAAGGCTGGATATACCCCTACAAATGACAGTCCTATGCCCCTACACAAACCACAACAACACCAGAAGAATCAAGAGGCTCCCCTAGTCATAGAAAACAAATGGACTTGGAGCTTCCCATTGAGTCAGTGGATGATAAACCTAGTTCAGCCACTGAATGAATCCCAGCCTTGCATCAGTTTTTTTGGCAACCTTCCCTGACTGCTTCACAGTGTGGCTGTATGAGGCAAATGAAATAAGGGATGGAGAAGCCCACTGTAAACAGAACAGTAATGCTGTATGCAAATGGAACAAAGTCACTTTCCTCACTTTGTAACACTTCTGGGGAAAAAAGTGTCAAAGTAATCCTAAGGGTGTGGCCACTAGACTGTTACGGTGTCATTTAAAGCCACCCACTTGAACTACCTCTTTATCTCTGAAAATGACTAGGCCCAGGAAGACAAGTGATATATCCAGGATTCTGGAACTAGGAAAGGACAGAGCAAGGATTAGAACCCAGTTTTTGGTTGGCCCATCCAATTAAAATTCTATTTCTTTCAATGGCAACCCCAACAGTATATGAAAACTAAGAAAGCGACTTTCAGGGAGAAAGCTGTAATTTTTTTTTGAAGTTTCTGAAAGGAAACTAAGGCAGACTAATAAGAGGATTAATGAAATATGCCAGAATGTGTCTTGTTAAGGAAAAAAATACAGACAACCATTGCTTCAATGCAAAATACTTTCTCTTTAGATGTTAGAGCTAACCCAGTTATAGCTGGCTTTACTGTAAGAAGCCGGGCTATCTGAAAAGAATGAGAAAACTGATTTTACCCCCTGCATATCCAAATGCATGTAGTAATGCGCCTTTGTATAAGAGGGTCAACCATACACTGGGCAGAAAGGGACTCATTAAAAGGCACCCTGGCTCTCAACACTGGAGGCACTTCCTCAACAGCACGGCCAAGGAAACCCTCATCTATCCTCAAATAATCCCCCAGCCAGACCACAAATTGCTGGCTGCACCAGATTTAGTAACACCCCCTGCCATGCTCTTGCAGGGTCACAAAATACCCTGGACCACAGCAGCAAGCACTCTCTGGGTGCCTCTCAGGTTCTGTCAGCCGGGGGCAGAACTGAAAATTGACCTCTCCAAGGCAGCTTGTCTGGGCCCACTGTGGAAATTAGGTGGGCAGTGTGAGGAGGAAAAGAAGGGGAGGAACTACCAGACCATGGAGGACTGCATATCCCATTGTGACCTTGACGAAAACAGAGCAGAGAGGAGGGGTTTGATGAGAAGAAATTCCTGAAGGGGTTGTTTGAGAGTGTTTCTGATTTTAAAGAAAAAAAATTGTGTTACTCCAGAGAATGCTGGAGGGACAGTGCTTTAGGGAGTGTGTTGGTGGATGACAAAGGCATCTCAGGCTGGTTAGAAATACAAGGCAAGTGGGAGGGGAGAGGTGCCGCATGAAGGACCTGGCTGGTGTAGGGAGGCTAAAGATCCCAGGGTCCCTGTCATCCACAAAATGTTGCCTCAACATTCCTCAGGTCGCTGAAGCTGGTAGGTACCCAACCAGGCAACACTCCAGGGTTGTGGCAAGGCCTGAAAGGACCCTGTAAGTTACAAGTTAACTAGCAGCTGCAAAGCACTGTAGAAACAGTGCTGGCTATTAAGGGTGGGTTGGGGGGTGGGTGTTGCTGAACTGCTGAGAGGAGCAACACTAAAAAGCCCAGAAGGGGGTATAGTGACATTTGATCTATGCTGAGAAAGCACATCTTGCTCTCTCCTGCCTGAACCCACAAGCACATCTCAAGGGCAGTTTGGGTGGCTGGATAGGGGTAGAGCTATTTGCGTATTTAAGCAAAACAACACCAACAATGGGATCATGTTCCTCAAGTCCCTTCCCTTGGCAATCTGGAGTCTCAAGGTGAGTCCTTCTACAAGTAACTCTTCCCAGTACCAGCCGCAGCTGTGCCTGCCCTCACCCCTCCTGAGGGCTGCTCTTTGAGGGTTCCAGAGCCCTCAAGAAAGCTATTCTCCCCTGTCCTCCTTTGCAACTTGGCTTCCAGCAGATCACAGCCTCCTCAAACAATCCCTGGCGGCGGCGGCGGAGGCAGCTCCAGCACAGCTGTGCTCCATGGCGCAAAAGTTTCCTCCACACTTTTCAATGTGCAGGAAATCTCGCCGGCCCGGTGCTGAGGGGGCAGCAATCAGAATGGGGAAAGGCCAAGGCGGAATAGGCCACAGCGACGTCCCAAAAGCTGAATGGATGTGCGCACATCTGGATGTGTGAATGAGACGAAGAAGCCAGCCACCAACGCCTGGTCTCCGTTCCCACACCGGACCCCAGCCCTGCAACCTGCCCTGGCAGGATGGCCAGAGAGCGCCAAGAGAGGAGCTGAGCTGCATCGCCTTTGCCCTCAGCCTCTCGCTGTCCGCCAGGGTGCAGGGGCCTCTAGGAGAAGCCCCCAACAGCCGCCCCTTCCTCAGTCCCAACAGAGGGGAGTAGTCTCCCCGAGGTGGGGGACCAAGGGCGGCCCCTGAGCCCTCGGGAGTGTGTCTGCGCTCAAGGCTCCAACCCGGGCCAGCCATGCTCTCGTCCAAGCTCTAGCCACCCTCAGGGGCTATCTGTGCCTGGGCTGGTGACAAGAGCCCCTCCGTGCTGCTCCTGTCCCTCTGAGGGGCTTTCAGCCCCAGCCGGGCCGAGTTTCAAAGCAGGTCTGAGGGCCCAGTCCTGCCTCAGCCTGAGCACAGCTCGCCCATTCAAAGCCCGGCGCCGCGAGCACAGAGTCTCCAGGTCTTACCTTAGACACTGTGAGCGGCTCACAGTGTTCCAGACCTCCCTTAAGGGTGAAGCCCCAGGGCGCCCCCCCTTGCAGCTGTACGGGGACGTACTGGAAGGACCCAGGCCGGTTCTCCATCCTGGGCTCTGCTCCGGCGCCGCCGGGCTCCTTCTCTGCGGGGGCTACTTTGCCTCCGCCCCCAGCAGCTCCACCACCATCGCCCTCCACCGCTACGCCACCCCGCACCGCCCTGCTCCGCCTACTCTCCGGACTGGAGACTCTCGGGCAGTGAGCGAGCCCAAGGAGGAAATGACACGGAGCTGGAGAAGGGGGGAGGGAGGGGGAAAGGAGAAGGGGGAAAAAGAAAAAAGGAAAGGAAAAGGAGGGACAGCGCGTAAAGGACTAGAAAAGAGAGCGATGGGGAGGGGCAGGAACTAGGATCATGCCTAGGGGATCGCTGAGGAAGGGAGCAAGACAAGGCCTCACATCAATTGTTACATTGTTTCATTCAAGCAGGCCCCCTCTTTGGTCCTCCTCTCTGCTGCCGAGCTCCCGCCCCTGCAGCCTGCAGAGGCAAGAGGAGGTTAAAGTCTTTAGTGTGGATGGCCCTCGTGGCTGAGTGGGCTGAAACGCTGGTTTCCTGATTAGCCTGTTGATGTTTCTCTGACTGCCTTTTTCTTCTGAAGGTTCCAAGAACCCACTCCTGGGAGGGTTGCAAGGCTGCTAATTTGTAGAGCATGCCTAGAGGGGTGGAAAGTAAGGGAAGCAGAACAGGGAGCACAGTGGGGCTGTGTGTGTAGGCCGCTCTGTGTGTAAGCACTAGGTGTGTGGGGTCATTTATGAAACGTTGCCCGGGAGCATAATTTAAATAAAGGAGCACTTTGAGGATGCCCCCTGCTTAGGCTCAGCCACACCCTGGCTCAGTGCTGGAGTCTGGGGAGCACTGTGCTTGTGTATGTTCCAGTCATCTGGAGCTCCTGGCACAGCCTTGCACTTGCCCCACTGAGATGATCAAGCCAGGAATCAGCAAACTTTATGACTAGCAGTACTGTCTCTAAATAAACATACAGGAAAGAGCATCCATTGATAGACTGGTCGATTAATAATGTGCCTTTGGGAAGAATCAGCTTTGAGACAGTCCAAAGCATCTCTGTTCAAGCTTGAGCCTCTTGTTACTCAAATGGGCTTTTAGAACAGACCCAACAGCCAAAGAACAGTTCTGAGAAGTGAATTTGTGACTGACTCTGATGCTGACTTCCCAGCCTTGACCCAGGCGGGTTATCTTGCCTCTCCTAATGGTTTCTCTGCAGCCACAGGAGGGCAGTGAGTTTTTAAAGGGCCTCACACTAGAAGGGAAAGTGTTGACAACTCAGTTCAGACTCAAGAGAACTTTCTCACTCTTCCTTGCTCAGTCTCTCCCTGGTTGGTTCTTGTGTGGCTTCTACCTTTGGTTAACAAACACACCAAGGCTCCTTTCTTCCATAGCCAGCTCTCTGGCAGTCAGGGTTTCCAGTCCCTCTTCCAGTTCCTCACCTGTTGCTGCTTCTTCAACACACTGCCACCTGCCCAGGACACTCTATGGATCTTTTCTCCTCAGCCTCCTGGACTGCCTGCATTATATGAGGCTGGGTTGACTTTTCTTTAATAAAATGGCAGCTTGGGTGTTTGTAGCTGCCTTGTTACACTCCTTAGAGAAGATTCATATGGGAAACTGCCCTCCATCTCTTTCACTTTTAGACACAAAAGACCATCTTTTTTTTTTTGTATTAAATTCTTTTATTGGTACATTGTAGGTATACAACACAATTACATTTCTCATTGGGAATTGTACCTTTACATAATGCAT